TTGTAGAGGGGGTTGCAACGTTATTATAGGTGAATTGCGGTTCTGCTATCCTTCTGCGCAGGGCTGGCAACAGTCTTCGCTGGGTCCTGGACAAAGTGTGTGTGGGGTGGTCATTGGACAGAAGTGGTGGGGCTGAAGGAAGGGGTTAGCCTCCCCCCACTCAGCCCACAGTACTGCTCAGACTGTACTGTACAGGGCCTGGGGCTCTGGCTACTCCTACTGCTGTGATAGCTGCCCAGAGCCTCAGGCGCTTTTAAATCACCAGGCCCCGGGGCAACTGCGTTCTTTGTCGCCCTTCCCTTCCTCTCTCTCTCTTTCCCACCACTCAGATGTACCCGCCCTACCCCATCAGAGGCCCTGCTTCTGCACAGCTGCCTTCAGAGCTGGGCAGCTGGAAAGCAATAGCTGCAGGAGCCCAGTTCTGAAGGCAGAGCTGCCACCATTAGCAGCATGGAAGTAAGATGGCATGGTATGGTACTGCATGGCATGGTACTGCCACCCTTACTTCTGCACTGCTGCCTGCAGAGTCGGGTCTCAGTCAGCAGCCATCACCAACCAGCCACCTCTGAAGGAAGACTGCAGAAGTAAGGCTGGCATGCTATGGAATTACCACCTTTACTTCTGTGCTGTGGCGGGCAGAGTGTTGCCTTCAGATCTGGCCATCCTGCCAGCAACCACCACTCTCCAGCTGCAAGCAACTCAGGAGTAAGGATTGCAATACCGCAACCTCACTAAAATAATCTTGTGACACTCCCCTCCTCCCTCACCACAACTCCTTTTTGTGTCAAAACTCCCAATTTGGAAAATGCTGTTCTTCCACATGAAATCTGTATAGTACATGGTAAAAGCACAGAAAAATCCAGATTTCACAGTCCGTGATATGTTTTTCATGGCTGAATTTTGTAGGCCCCTAGTAATAAGTAGTACCAAGCTGTGATATTCTTTTGGAGTGACATGCTGGTGGGACAGAGGGCACATAGCAGCCCTGGCTTATTGTTTAATCCTTGGGCTAGTAGGTGTTGGGAAATTTTTCAAGCCTAGCTCACTAGCAAAGGTAATGAGATTTCTTTGAATGACACTGATTCTTATAACTTGGTTTGGTAAATGTGGATCCCTACACCCATCAGTTACAAGAGCTAGCCCTATGAATGTTGTTGCTAACATCATTAAAAGTACTGGCTCCTACACTGCAATATGCTGAATGCTCTCAACTTCTGTTGAATTGCCATAGCATCTCTGACTATTATTGCTCCTTACCGCTGTTTAAAATTCTGTTTGCCTCTTAGAATTCTCTTAACAATGCCCTCTCAATATCCTTTCCCTGATTTGGTGCCTCTTGTTCACCAGAGTTCTTGCAACATAGGATGCATCCAGTTTCTTCTGACTAGTCCTCTCCACTTAGAAAATTCTGTCTTGCTGGATTTTCTGCAATCATTTCAGTATGGAAGAGAAACAAGAAATTCGGTGTTAATTCTAATTTTAACTGGCAAAGTTCATAGCCTAAAGCCTTTGTTATGAAAAAACAGTTTTGGCTATCATTGTTTCTCTGAATGGCCAGGTGTTTGTAGATATTACTTAGTGACCCTATTGGAGTTACAGGAATTTAGTAATAAAGCATTTGATAACTTAGTGTCATTATTTTCTCAACAAAGCCTTCTTAAAAAGCAAATACAAGGAAAATAATGAACTATTAACATGTTATGCAGACATCCTGCTTGCTGCTGTGGTAAATCAATGAAAACTGACTTCAATTAGTAGAACTTCAATCTAGACAAATACTGTTTTTTGTTGTTTTAATTGAATCACGTGTATTCATCATGCACTGTATCTTGTGGTTTCTATTTAGATAATAGTTAAAAACATTACATTCAATTGTTTAGCTATTCTATTTAGAATATAAGTCATGGAGGAAAACTTCTAGTTCCAAAGTCTGAACTGGCATTAAATAGAGATAGCCATGGTCTCTAATATCTTTTGAGATCCCCAAATAGTATACTCCTTTTTTAGAAGATTTGTTTTAGATAAACAGGGGTATCCTGCACTCAGTACAGTGCCCCTCAAACTCAAGCAAAGTGTGTGTGAGAACAAGCTCAGAGCTGATTAGAGAGCTCCTAGTTTGCTCCTGCCAGGACCGTGCTTAGGCCAAACTGGATGTGCACAAGTTAAGTTCTATGCCATTCTGAAAATAGGTTCAGGCATATATGCAAGCCCACAGCCATTAGCCTCCCCATTGGTGTGTACGTGTCTTATGACAGCCTCTTCCACCTTTGAAAATAGTGTGTGTAAAAGTTCCCATTTGCACTCACACATTCTTGTAGTTTGTTTCCTCCTGGCCAAATGTTCAAAAATGTGGGCATTTTCATTACCCAAGAGTAGTTTAAAAAGAAGCTTGAGGAGTACAGGAAGTCCCCGGGTTACGTACAAGATAGGGACTGTAGGTTTGTTCTTAAGTTGAATTTGTATGTAAGTCGGAACTGGTACATATTGAAGGGGAAACTCTAGCCAAACATTTCTCCAGAGCTCAGTTTTATTCTCCCACACCTCACTTCCCTCAGTCCTGCAGACCAGGGAGACGCGGAGCGGTTTTTCTTGCCACGAAGGACGCGGGCAGCGGGACCGCGGCGCGTCTCGGCGGTCTGCTGCGGGGGGGCGCAGCTAGTGCGGGGTTGCCTCACCCCGTTTGTAAGTAGGGATCCAATGTAAGTCGGATTCATGTAACCCGGGGACTGCCTGTACTCTAAATTCTTACGAAGCAGTATACTGTTTTATTTCATACCACTCCGTTGACAGGCTTGGACTCAATCCTGCAAGTTTTTGAGCAACTTCTGGGAGCAGCAGGACACCCTCTGCCCTGACTAAAGTAATCAGCATTGGTAGTAGACAACACCTGGCAGGAATAGGCCCTTTGTTTAGAAATTTTAAATATGGTCACTTGAGGAATAAGTACAAGAATTGTCTTGGAATGGCCTGTTTCTGGAGAAATAGTCTGCAATATTGTAAAGCAAATACAGTTTGACTCTAAATGAACAGCACTGCCTTTTGAGAAGTTTATTGTGACTGTAACACATTCTGCTGCTTTAAAAAAAAGTTAAAAACCAGACAAAAGCAACAGGAGGCTTTCTGTTCTCTGACAGTCAGCTTATTGACAGTAGACAGTGGAATGTTTTCTTGTGCTGTGGTTTACTTGGCTGCATCCAGTCAGCACCCAAAAGACAGTTAACAGAGATATTTTGCATTTTTTTCCTCTGTATTTATAACTGCAGCTGACATAAAAGTATCATAATAATGGTCATGGGAGAGGTTTAGTCTCATGATGGCTATCTATGCCAGCTGAAGTATTCCACTCAGTTTAGTGTTGCTAGGATATTTATGATGCATTATCTCCAACCTTTATTAAATTTTATTGAACTGGTTGGAATCTGTTAGAAAGCCTGAAGTCAAGAATGTGACATAATCCCATGCAATTAAACTGCATTAGCCAGGTAGTCTTCATGTTCAAAAGATATCCAGTGGCATGGTTTTCATTAGACCCCATTTTACCAGACTCTTGGGGGGGGGGGGGGGGGGGGCAATTGATATATAAGTAATAGTAAGTGTAATATCTTTAAAGGGACACTGGATCTCTGAAACAAAAGCTGATGCACACAAGCTCTGTGTGCTAGTATTCATGAACTAAATTCTTGACTCCGAGAGTGAAAATATTCATGCTTTAAAAGCTTAGGGAAAATGAGAGGTTACCAGGACCTTCTTTACATTTTTTGAACTATTGTTATTTACCTGTTTTCACCTCTTCATGTACTTACTTTAAAAGAGATCTGAAGGTTTCATGGTAAAACTTTTAAAATTGGACACTTATCAAGTTAAACGTGATTTTAAAATACAACTCAAGAATAAGTTGTGCTTCTATAACTAGAACTATGCAAATCTGTGGGTATCCACTTTATATCTGTGGTTATCCTCATTCGCAGATGTGGATGCGGATATCCGCAGCTCATTTTTGTGGATGTGGATACAAATTTTGTATCTAAAACCCTATAAATTTGCGGATATCTGCATTTTATCAGTGGGTGTCTGCATCCAAATTTTGTATCTGCACCAGGCTTTAGGTATAAAACCTTTCCTCCAACGATTTCATGGTGCTTTACAAAATTAGTGCTTACAAGTGGGGGGGGAAGCAGGAGAGGAGAGAGTCTGAAAGAATTTTGGTCAATACATTATTGACCACTATATGGTACCCTACTACTGTCTAAAGTTCCTTTTTATTCCTGAAGAGCATTCACTACTACTCAGTGTCCTGTCGTATTAATTGCAGTTTTTGTTAATCATGATATCAAACACAATTATGTAGTGATTAGGTCTATTTGGAGCCCCAGTACATAGTTGTTGGGAGCCCTACCCTCTCCCATTTCAGTTTTACACACACATTTTGGAGCCCCCCCCCCCCCCCAAGTCCTGATTTAATTCTCCCTTTGTCTCCCCTATATCCTAGTCAACCATAGTAATGTTCACAATAATCCACTGCAGCTTTTTGGCTCATGTCAACTCCTGCTTCTTAAAACTAAGCCAAGAATTTTCTCTTTTCTTGGAGGCCTGCAAATGAAAAGTAAATTTATATTATTTTGTTTGTGAGACTCCCTTGCACCCCGGGATCCCTTCTGAGATGATATTCCAGTCCCCACTATTTTGGGATTTCTGCCAGAGGGAAGGGGAATCAGAGGCTGTGCCCTCTGTCTGGCTATTATTGCCTGGTTTGGGAGCTGCACAAATCATCTATGGCTTCCATCCTCCCAGAACTGAAGATCAGCCAGAACCATTTTCCACCCTGCATACTCATGCTGTATAGTACTTTTTCCATTACAAAGGCCCTCCATTTAGCAGAGGACACCTGCTAAATCTAGACTGAAACTGATTGAGAGGCTTGGACAATCTCTCAGTACAGAGTATCTGATTCCCTTAATGACCTCTGTTAATATTTTTTGCACTTTTCTTTGTTTCTACAGCTTCCTATTATTGAAAAAATAAGGATTATTGCTCAGAAGGTTTATGGCGCTGATGATATAGAATTGTCTCCTGCAGCGCAATCTCAAATCAACCGTTACAGCCAACAGGTAAAAGTGCCATCAAAGTCTACAGTCAAGAACACTTGATTCTCCATAGTCTTGCACGTTTTATACTTATGTAGATGGAGTACAAAAGTGACCATTTTAGGGCTTGTCTACATGGCAAAGTGCATTAAAAAGGTGTGATTTGTAAAGTACGCTAATGCAGTTAATGTTAATTGCTTTGGACAAGACTATGTACCTGCAAATCATCAGGGCCCAAAAGGAACAAACAGAACACATGTAGAGTCATAGAAATGTAGTGCTGTAAGGAACCTCAACATCTCCTCAAGTCTATTTCTCTGAAGTATGGCAGAACCAAATAAACCTACAACATCCATGACGCATGTTTGTCAACTGATTTTCAAATGATTGCTATGATGGGGACTCCACAACGTCCCTTAGAAGCCTATTCAAGAGCTGAACTACCCTTATAGTTAGAAAATTTGTCCTAATATCTCACCCAGCAATGGGCAACTTAGGCAAGTGTGTGGATTGCCCTCTTTCATCTCAGTGGACTGCAAGATTGTCATAACCAAGACAATCTCCTGGGATATAGCAGTTTTGCTAACTGTACTTGCATACCTAGAATTTGTGGGGTGTGCCAACTGAACCATAGCAGTGCTTTGATTAGATGCACTGCCCTCAGTCAGTGATGTATGAAATCAGCATGCACCTTGCTTTGCATGTGTGTCACTACAGTAATACTGTTATGCAAAATATCACACAAATGGAAACCAGTGGAATCTGGCAACTCTGTGTGTGGGCAACAGTAAACAATACGTCTCTCAGGCCACATATAGAACCCTGATGGGCCACAGGTTGCCCACCACTGGTGTAACCATAGGTTCCCAAACTGGGGGGTGTGCCCTCCCTGAATGGGCATGAAGAAATTCCAGGGAGGGCTCAAGGCGACCCAGTCCCATCAATTCCCCCCACCCCCAAGAAATAGCTGGTCCATCAAGTTTTGCTGCTATTTTGGGGGGCGGGGTACGTGAGGGTTTCTCAAAAATCAAGAAGGGGACATGATGCCGAAAAGTTTGGGAACTACTTGGTGTAACCTAAATCTCCTATTTTGTAAATTAAACACATTATTTCTGGCCCTACCTTCAGTAGACATGGCAAACAGTTGAACACTGTTTATAATTTTTGTTGCTGTCTGGATTCTTTCAACTTCGTCTACATCTTTCCTTAAGTGTGATGCCCAGAACTAGACACAGTATTCCAACCAGGGCCTTAGCCCCATGCTGAGTAGATTAGGGCAGTTACCTCCTACTTCTTAGGTAATATAACACTCTTGTTACTACACCTCAAAATCATATTCATCTTTTTTGCAGCTGCATCATATTGACAACTCCTATTCAATATGTGATCCATCATCATCCCCAACAGTGCTAGCACCTAACCAGTTATTGCCCATTTTGTAGTTTATGCATTTGGTTTTTCTCCTCCTCTAACTGCAATACTTTGGATTTGCCTTTATTGAATCACCAACCCTGCAATTTGTCAAGGCCCATTTTGAATTTTAAAGTGCTTGCATCCCTCCCATCTTGGTGTCATCTGAAATTTTTATAAGCATAATCTCTATTCTGTTATCCAAGTCATTAATGAAAATGTTGAGTAGTACTGGCTCCAGGACTGACCCCTGTAGAACTCAACTAGATATGTCCTCCCGATTTGATTAAAAAAAAAAAAAACTTTTGATAACTGTTCTTTTAATATAGCCTTTGAACCAGTTGTGTACCTACCTTATAGTCATTTCATCTAGAGCACATTTCCCTAGTTTGCTTATGAAAATATAATGTGGAACTATGTGAAAAGCCTTACTAAAATCAAGTTATATCATATTTACTGTTTCTCCTTGTGGCGGGATTACGGGTGTGAGCACCGCTCCCCTTCTTCCCCTGGGAGGTGGGGGGGGAGGGCTCCGCGAACCCACAGCCTTGGGTTTGTCCAGTGAATCCCTAAGCAGGGTCTGCCTGCGGTAGAATGGATGGGTGCGACCGCCCCTCTGCCCTAGCCGGCAAAGGGGGTTCAGCGGACCCTCCACCACATCACCCCTAACGGGGCTAGAGGTTTAGCCCGATCACGGGCCTTGGGGTCCTTGCCCCTGTCCCGCCCCTTCAATGGGCGGTTATGCGTCCGTAGGGCTGGGGTGTGACCACTGTCCTCACACTGCTCTCATCGCAAGAGGTTAGGTTACTTGGGATGCTTTCGTGCGTGTGGGGAGTGGGGGACCTGGGCCCTCTCTCTCCTCCGGGTCCCAACCCGGGGCCCTAAGTGGAGTATGGTGTCATTGAGCCATCCTCCACGGCAGATGGGGCAGAGGCCCTAAAT